TACCGTGCACAAATTAAATTCTCGTCGATTTCTAAATCAATATTTATGAACAGATTTCCGTTGGAATTGAAACACGTACGGAAATCCAAATAATAAAAACCCAATCTTGAAAAGTTTTTTTTATCATCAAGCATTATCCTATTAACTATCAAATAAATACTACATTCATTAGAGTTTGACAGTGCCCGAGGGTATCACTGTCATAGCTTTGCCTGGAGTGACAGACATACCTGAGGGGTGATCATAGGCACTGTCACATTGTAATGAATATAGTATTTGTTTTATTATACCGATAGACTATAATTAAGTTTTGAAATTTGTAACAAATATCGTATTTTCATCATATCAATCTCAACTTCTTTGTTTATGTTAGTTTGACGGTACGATGCGTGCTTTACGAGTAATTATCTGTCAATTTTTTTTTCTAATCATCTGACATCTGTAAGTCTAACCATTTTTACTTTATAGAGCAGAGGTCCAATTATTTATCCTGATTACCACGTTAATAAAGCGCTTGGAAATCTCACTCATCTCAGCGTAACATCGTCGAATTTATCAACGGCAAGTTATTCACAGTAGTGACAAATAGTGCCTGTGGACCTACATGCGCGATGAATCGTAATGCACAAACATGGCGACTGAAACAAACCGTACGCGCATCTCCTTTTCGCGGTCACTTTTCTTACACTGTCGCGAACACTGTCAACCGTTGCTAGGTCGTTGGGAAGCACCCTTCCATTGAATGTTAAGCTAATGTGACAGTGTAAAATGAATAATTGGTCTCGATAAATCAGATCATAGGATTTTCACTGGAGGTATAATAATTACAAATAAAATGTGATTTGGTCAGAGGCTAATGTATCAACATCCTACATAGACTTAATAACAGGTCGAGACCATATAAATCAGCCAAAATATGTCTTTGGTTACAATTAGAATCACTATTATCAAATAAAACAAACGGTTGTTTATTCACTAAAGAACAAGAAATCGTGACTTTCAAAATAAGTAAAGACAGGAAATATCTGTCCTACTCATCTTATTTATAAGCGCTTTCTGCTATACTATTTAAAGAAGATTATCAGCCCACTATGAGTTAGACTTTATATATATAAGCAGAAATCTTAGAGTGTATCACTTATAAAACATATAAAACTTCATTTTGACATTTTAGACGAAATTTGTTTACGTATCTAACGACTTAAAAAACAGATAGCTAAATTCTATAATTTGACCTAATAGAAAAATACTTTGTCCTCAGATCTTCTTGATGACAAGATAAACACAGATGGTTTTAGTCTTCTCGGCAGCCTGTGGATTCGGAATAATCCAAACTAAGATTGTCACCATTAGTAACGGTGTAAACACTGCTACAATGGAAATATGATCGGCATTGTATTGTTTTGTTCGCAACAACAAGGCGCTAACACTTGGCATAATGGGTATATTGATCTGATAAAAAGACTTAACTAGGGTCTTGGTAAAAAAATACACCTTTATCCATTGACGTCTCCCAAACAGGTAGCTTCATGTATCATAAGAACAATACTGATAGATTAAACTACATGTAATAATGACAAAACAATAGGACAAAAGTACAGATAACAAAAGAGGGTCTTAACAATGGAAATAAAAATAAAACAAGGTATTTTGGGGAACAAAGTAAGTGGATATCGTGCTCTTGTTTAGGGCAGAAGAAAACATTGTAACGAACCTAAGATACTTCCAACGCAAAACATCTTTTTTATTGATGTTCTTTATCACACAATACATATATTTCCTTGACATTTTTCTTTAAAAGAATGTATTTTCAACTTTGAAGTTAAAAGTGTTTAAGAATTTTAAAAATATATTCCTTTTTACCAATACTGTGTGTTCCAAAGTGTGTTACCCGTGTCTTTAACGTATGAGGGAGACCGCTTTGAGTATCAGTACTCACGACAGATGGCTATTGCTACGCTTGGTTACCTGTGGTCTGATGTCGTGTAACTTCTGTTCTGTTCTGTTTCTATACACTTACTATAACTTCCGTCACCCGCCCATGTGTTTCCACCTATATAAATCAGTGTGAAGTCATTCATACGCCACCAATCCGACAAACAGTTCATATATTATTTTCTTAAATTCATGACGAACTGTTTGTGACATTAATTCTACAATAACAGATGTATTTTATGTTTTTGCTTATGTGCTCCTTCCAAATAACAAACCATGGTGCAATTACGTGACATTTCAGATTTGATTTGATCTTGTAACGCCTATTTAATGTGGTTTGAAAAAAACTATTGCAGAATGTAACACAGGTGACAGCTAGAAAACCTCTTGACTCAACTTTGCGTCTTACGTTTTACGTACAAAAGAGTGTCTACTATACGCCAAAGAATTACTGACACTCATGGCTCTCACGATCGCAAAAATCAACTGTGGTACAAAATCGTATGATACCGTGCACAAATTAAATTCTCGTCGATTTCTAAATCAATATTTATGAACATATTCCCCTTGGAATTGAAACACGTACGGAAATCCAAATAATGAAAACCCAATCTTGAAAAAGTTTTTTTTATCATCAAGCATTATCCTTTTAACTATCACATAAATACTACATTCATTAGAGTTTGACAGTGCCCGAGGGTATCACTGTCATAGCTTCGCCTGGAGTGACAGACATACCTGAAGGGTGATCCTAGGCACTGTCACATTCTAATGAATATAGTATTTGTTTTATTATACCGATAGACTATAATTATGTTTTGAAATTTGTAACAAATATCGTATTTTTATCACATCAATCTCAACTTCTTTGTTTATGTTAGTTTGACGGTACGATGCGTGCTTTACGAGTAATTATCTGTCAAAAGATTTTTTCCAAATCATCTGACATCTGTAAGTCTAACCCTTTTTACTTTATTGAGCAGACGTCCAATTATTTATCCCGTCTACCACGTTAATAAAGCGCTTGGAAATCTCACTCATCTCAGCGTTACATCGTCGAACTTATTAACGGCAAGTTATTCACAGTAGTGACAAATAGTGCCTCTGGACCTACATGCGCGATAAATCGCAATGCACAAACATGGCGACTGAAACAAACCGTACGCGCATCTCCTTTTCGCGGTCACTTTTCGTACACTGTCACACACGCTGTCAACCGTTGCTAGGTCGTTGGGAAGCACCCTTCCATTGAATGTTAAGCGAATGTGACAGTGTAAAATGAATAATTGATCTCGATTAATCAGATCATAGGATTTTCACTGGAGGTATAGTAATTACAAATAAAATGTGATTTGGTCAGAAGCTTGTATATCAACATCCTACATAGACTTTATAACAAGTCGAGACATAAATACGCCACAATTTTAATCAGCCAAAATATGTCTTTGGTTACAATTAGAATCACTATTATCAAATAAAAAACGGTTGTTTATTCACTTAAGAACAACAAATCGTAACTTTCAAAATAAGTAAAGACAGGAAATATCTGTCCTACTCATCTTATTTATTAACGCTTTCAGCTATACTATTTAAAGAAGATTATCAGCCCACTATGAGTTAGACTTTATATATATAAGCAGAAATCTTAGAGTGTATCACTTATAAAACATATAAAACTTCATATTGACATTTTAGACGAAATTTGTTTACGTATCTAACGACTTAAAAAACAGATAGCTAAATTCTATAATTTGACCTAATAGAAAAATACTTTGTCCTCAGATCTTCTAAGATTGTCACCATTAGTAACGGTGTAAACACTGCTACAATGGAAATATGATCGGCATTGTATTGTTTTGCTTGCAACAACAAGGCGCAAACACTTGGCATAATGGGTACATAGATCTGATAAAAAGACTTAACTAGGGTCTTGGTAAAAATATACACCTTTATCCATTGACGTCTGCCAAACAAGTAGCTTCATGTATCATAAGAACAATACTGATAGATTAAACTACATGTAATAATGACAAAAAAATAGGACAAAAGTACAGATAACAAAAGAGGGTCTTAACAATGGAAATAAAAATAAAACAAGGTCTTTTGGGGAACAAAGTAAGGGGATATCGTGCTCTTGTTTAGGGCAGAAAAAAAACATTGTAACGAACCTAAGATACTTCCAATGTCAAAGTCTTTGTTGAAACATCTTTTTTATTGATGTTCTATATCACACAATACATATATTTCCTTGACATTTTTCTTTAAAAAAATGTATTTTTAACTTTGAAGTTAAAAGTGTTTAAGAATTAAAAAATATATTCCTTTTTACCAATACTGTGTGTTCCAAAGTGTGTAACCCGTGTCTTTAACGTATGAGTGAGACCGCTTTGAGTATCAATACTCCTGACAGATGGCTATTGCTACGCTTGGTTACCTGTGGTCTGATGTCGTGTAACTTCTGTTCTGTTTCTATACACTTACTATAACTTCCGTCACCCGCCCATGTGTTTCGACATAAACAACATAACACTAGACAAATGCATGTAATCAACATTTACATCACAAGACAGTACATGCGATTGTAACATCATGTCATTTCAAAAAATGTTCTTCGTTCACATGTTTTGTTTCTATCATGAGGTCAAATCATATCCCATTTCTGTGGAGCTTGCTGTTAATATAGCATTGCAAGTCAGCATATATAGGTGTCTAGAATACCCTCTCTTGATTATAAGGCAGGTTGTTCAGTTTAATGTCTCACCTGTTTTACCACCATCACCATCACCACAATCAACACCAACACCATCTCAACAACCAACACCATCACCACAACCCAACACCATCACCACCACCATCACCATCACACTTACCACAACCAACACCATCACCACCACCACCATTACCATTATCACCTAAAACAACACCACCACCACCTCCACCTCAAACACCACCAACGACACCATTACCATAACCACCTCCAACACCACTAAACTCACTATCACCATAACCACCTCCAACACCACAAAAATCACCATCACCATTACCACCACAACCTCCTACACCAGCAACACCATCACCACCAACAACTTCAGCATCACTACAATCACCAACACCATCATCATCACCACCAACAACTCCCCCATCACTACAATCGCCAACACCATCCTCATCACCACCAACAACTACACCATCACTAAAATCACCAGTAACACCATCACCACCAAAAACACCACCATCACTACAATCACCAGCAACACCATCACCACCCAAAACTCCACCATCACTACAATCAGCAGCAACACCATCACGACCAACAACTCCACCATCACTACAATCACCAGCAACACCATCACCACCAAAAACTCCACCATCACTACAATCACCAACACCATCATCATCACCACCCAAAACTCCACCATCACTACAATCACCATCAACACCATCACCAACAACAACTCCACCATCACAACAATCACCAGTAACACCATCACCACCATCAACTCCATCATCACTACAATCACCAACACCATCCTCATCACAATCAACAACTCCTCCATTACTAAAATCACCAGCAACACCATCACCACCAAAATCTCCACCATCACTACAATCACCAACACCATCCTCATCACCACCAACAACTCCACCATCACTACAATCACCAACACCATCCTAATCACCACCAACAACTCCACCATCACTACAATCACCAGCAACACCATCACCACCATAAACTCCACCATCACTACAATCACCAACACCATCCTCATCGCCACCAACAACTCCACCATCACTACAATCACCAGCAACACCATAACCACCATAAACTCCACCATCACTACAATCACCAACACCATCCTCATCACAATCAACAACTCCTCCATTACTAAAATCACCAGCAACACCATCACCACCAACAACTCCACCATCACTACAATCACCAACACCATTATCATCAGTATTGCCACCTCCAACACTACCACCACTCATATTACCACCATTGTACCACTTTATTATTTTCTATTATATTTTTGATCAGGTCATGTTAACATGAGTAAATGCACTCCTGCAATCAGCGTCTCTTTCTTAAACATAATTGCCCTGTAACCCGACGAAAATGATAGACTTGAACACCTTAAAGTACATAACGTATCGGTAAAATCGTCAATTGTTGAAACAAAGACATTCTGCGAAACAGAAGCCAAATAGTTCAGTCTGAATAAAAAAAAATCAATGACACATGTAGCAGGAAAACATGCAAAAATTTGCAAACCACAAATACCACACCACATCGAAACCAAACAACCTCACCAACACCACTACAACATCATTACATCTCAATACCACCATCATCAAAGATACAACACAACCAGACTACCACCTCCACCATAACCACCACCACAAATATAACCACCATTACAATTACAACTACCACCACAAGTACCACGACCACAACTACCATCAACACTATCACCACAACTCCAGAAACACCATAACCTCTGCCAACATCATTACTACTGCAACTTCCACCCCTACCACCACCAACACCATAACAACCATCACCACCGTTACCATCATAACCACCAGAACAACTAACAACACTACTCGCGCCACCAGTACCATCACCAACAATAGTACAACCCCAACCGCGACAAACATCATTAACACCAACACAGCTACATACAACACTACCAACACAACTCCAGAAACACCACTACCTCTGCCAACACTATTACTACCGCCACTTCCATCATCACTATTACTAACACAATCACCACCACCACAACTACAACTATCACCACAATTACCACTACCAAAACCACTACCATCACTAACACCACCATCCTAAACACTGCCACTAACACTACAACAACCAGCACCACTACCACTACCAATAACACACCACCACTACTAATACCACCACCACCAAAATTAACACCACCACTAACAATAAAAACACCTTAACCACACTACCTATAATACACCACCATCATTACCGACACCACTATAACCACCATGACCACTTCAACCATCATCGCCACAAGACAAACTGACCCACGTGACCTTAATACATCTGTGTAAACCTTGTATGTATTCACCAAGCATGATACTGGCCAAACATCATCACACTTTTTCGTAAAGAAACACGATGTGCTTTCCCGAATCAAAAAAGAGTTCCCAAATAGCCAACACGTGTTTGCGTGTTGTTCGTGCAGCCTTCCACCTTTTTCCAATATACAAAACACGAGATTTATTCTTTAATTTCGCGGTAGAGGTGTCATATATTGTTCCTGTTTTCGACGACAACTGGAAGGGGATTATATTTATTCTGTAATCAAGTAAAGAATCAGAGTGCAAAGTATATCTATTGAGGAAGATATGCGTTGTGTAACATCAAAACAGTTGTATATTATACATGAAGACTTCAGTGCGCAGATACACAGAGCACAAAATAGGAAGATATGATAACGTAAAATTAATCTTTTAATGTTTTTAAAGAATATATAGTAATGATCTATTTTCGTTTTTAAATACAGATAACGTAAAGAAAACAAATATGGCTGTGGCTGGTATGTATCATTTAATTATTACTAATATGAGAGAGAGAGAGATAGAGAGACAGAGAGAGAGACAGAGACAGAGACAGAGAGAGAAATATTATAATTTAATACATTATGATGATACATATTGTTTTAATATTCCGTCATTGAAACCTTAATAACCATTTTCTAATGCATGTTCAATATTCTGTCGTAGTAATTTTAGTTGTCACTAATACACTATAATACTATAACACTAATACTTGGAACTGATACAACTACAAGTTTAACCTATTTTTCACTGTTCTCACGTTCCACACACTTATGTTTGATGTATATTTTGTTATAGATCGAAATACTTCATACGGTGTAGAACGCGAGTACCGGATAGCTTTGATAGGACGAACAGGGAATGGTAAAAGTGCAACCGGAAACAACATTCTTGGTAAGAAAGCCTTTAAGTCTAAACTGTCCGGGTCCTCAGTGACAAATAGATGTGAATTCCAAACAGCGGAGCGCTTTGGCAAGAAGTTGGTAGTAGTGGACACTCCGGGACTGTTTGACACGACACTAACCAACGAAGTTGTCACAAAAGAAATCGTTAAATGCATAGCAATTCTCACTCCCGGACCACACGCCTTTATTCTTGTTGTTTCAGTAGGGCGCATCACACCAGAAGAGCAGAACACAATCACCCACTTCAGCCGAATCTTTGGTGAAGAATTCTTCAGGTACCTGATAGTACTATTTACACGACGAGATGAATTAGAAAACGATGGTGTGACCATTCAAGAGTATGTCAACGAGGTTCCAGAGGAACTGAAAAATATTCTACGGAGATGCGGTCACAAATATTTAGCGTTTGATAACTCTCCTCGTGGTAAGAAAACTGACTTTGACGTACTCGAACTGATGAGGATGGTACAAACTATCATTAATGAGACAGGAAAATCTTACTTCTCGAATGATGTTTTTGAGCGATCAGAACTGGAATTTCAGCGAAGAGCAAAGGAGATCCGACTTAAAGGAGAAGAGAAGATTGCGCTGCAACAGAAGAAGGTAGAGGAAGAGATGGAAGCCCAAAAGAGAAAACTTGAAGCAAAGAAAAGGGAAATAGAAGCCAAAAGACAGGAAATTCAGGCACAGGAACTGGAAAATCTAACGATGGAAAAATCCTTGAAACATGAAGAAACTCTTCGAAAAAAAGAGGCAATGAGAAAAGAAATGGAAGCAGAAAAAAAAGAAATGGAAGAAAGTGAAATTGAAAATGCCAAATTCGAACGGAAGAAGAAACTCGAATTAGAGGAAATGGAACGAAAACACCGAGAGGACACTGAAAACATGCGTGACAACGTCCGAAAAGAATACGAACGTGAAGATAAGAATGTCTTGGACAAATTAGTAGATGTAGCAAAGTCAACGCTGTCAACTATAGGGGAGAAACTAATTGGATGGCTATTTTGAAGAATCAAACGAACATCATTCTAGTTACAGGATATTGTTGCTTTAGAGTACTAGCATCTTCAACATGAAAAAGGAAAGGTCGAGAAGAAAAAGGAATTAGCTTATAATGAGTATCTCCTTTTTAAACTCCCTTTTGCTTATAGCGGCGTGTTTATGTATACAATGGCCAACCTAAACACTAAAACAGATTTACCTGCCTGAACTACAACATAACTACAACATAACTAACTTTTACAAAAACAAAAACAAAATATTTATATGCTGTTGTAAATGATAATATTCTTCATTATACTATCAGATTGAATGTGATATTGTTTTGAGATTTTCCTCATTATACCTCATAGGCATATCCAGGGTGGAGATGGCGGATCCGGACCCCGATTTCCAACATACAAAACGCATATTTCTATCATATGAAATTTGTTTTAAATTTACCATGTTTTCATTGGAACTTTTGTGAATGCTAAATATTAAAAGCACAATATTAAAATGACGCGCTGTTGCATCGACACACCAGGATTTTGTCGCTTTTGCTCAATTCAAAAAGTTTCATATATTTTACAAAACGGTGTTTTATCGCAGAGACGAAGCGGAAAGGACAGTGTTACTTTTGAAAAAAATAATATACAACAGTTTCGCTGACTGAAATGAGTGACGAATGTGAAAGCGCAGAAACCCCATACATTTTAGGGTTCTTCATTTGGATTTTTTTTATTTTTTCTCCCAGATGTGGCGAGATTTTGTGGGCGATACTTCGGACAATAGACTGGACGTTTGCACCTGTTCTTAATTCGGATAGTCTATTACGTACTCATTTTAATTTTTGTTTCTAAATAATATGTGTTTGTACTAATTTCAAGATTGCTGAAGTGCTTGCAATGCTTATTAAAATGGGTTGTATACAGTTTATGAGTTCCTTGTTGTCTCTTATTTAAACGCTAATTCAGTGGCAGATGCATTGCAAACATACCTTCTAAAATCACTCAGGTGTGACAAAACGTTGACGTCATTTTATCATTCTTATTGTGACGTCATTGTTTGTCATAATCTACACTGAATTAGTTATTATTATAGCATTTCTCGTCGATTAGCTGCACTCCTTTATACTACTGTTTTTTGAAGCGAGAGCTGGCGGAGAAAATAAAATCTACATCATGGAATATGTTTGAACGGGGCTATGTTGCATACCCTCATAGATGTTAGAAAGATGAATTTCCAACTTAAAATAACGACACAGCTTTCTCGAAATTATGACATCGCTTAGTCGCAATAACGACTAATATCTCTTAATAAAGACATGTCTCTATCTCGTAATAACGACTTAGTATAACTATGTCGTTTTTACATGACAGCTAAGTAATTATTCCAAGATCAAAAGTCGTAACTATGACAAAAAAGTCATAATTTCGAGATAGCAAGTTGTTATTTAATAGTTATGTCGATATTATCAGATAGTACATCATTATTATGACAAATACATGTAGGCAACATTTACATCACAAGACAATACATGCGATTGTACCATAATGTCATTTCAAAAAAACACTTTGTTCACATTTTAACATGTTTTGTTTCTATCATGAGTTCAAATCATATCCCATTTCTGTGGAGTTTGCTGTTATTATAGCCTTGCAAGTCAGTATATATAGGTTCTAGAATACCCTCTCTTGATTATAAGGCGGGTTGCTTAGTGTTGCACCTGTTTCACATATCGTTTTTGTTTAGCTGGCCTCAATAAATAAATGATCGTATCTATACCAAGAACTCAGCCAAATCATCTATGTCACGTGATTGCACAAGTGTTTGTTATTGTGAACCAGCACATTAAAATGTCTGCCATATTTTCATGTTTATACCGTTACTAACGGTAACATGTTCGAAATACACAGGCCATCGTGTTATGGTCATGCTGATATGACAATTACTTGCCTTGTCTGTAAAGATATGGGAACTGCAGTTCCTAAACACAAGCCCCTATGCTATGGACAAGTGACCCGCCACTACTCATTTGACATTACATGTACCACTCGACTGGTAAACTCATTTAAATTCTCGCAAGTAAGGAGTGGTCACTTTTGACTGCCTTTATCAAGGTAACAAGACGCTTCTAAATGCGCATTGACGGACGATTCGGTATTTATTGAACTATTTCTTAAAAAAAACTAAATATCTTGGCCAAATGTCATCAAGGAGCTCTGACTGAAAAGCACTGTTTTACCTGATCAATATATTACTGAATATATAGCCTAACCTGTGTGTGAGACCGTTATACAGACTCCGAGTCGAAAAGAAATTCGTCGTCAAGGCCACCGTGACAACTTCAGGTGTGTATTTTAATAAGTAATATAACTTATGCTTTCTGGTTATAAAAGTTATTTATTTAAATCATAGAGCTTGAATACGTTAATAAATTAGACTACTTCTAGTTGGGGTGAGCGGTCAATTGCTGTCCTGAATTTTTTTTGAAAACTAGTTTTAATACTCGACACTTAATGAGAGTAGATTCAGTTAATTGTGTTGAGTTTAACCTTTATCTATTTACAAGCATTCAACTTACAGTCAACAAAATACCAGACAATAGTGAGAACGAAAAGGGCTTTGTATATATCTTATCAATTACTGGATATCTGGCAAGAATGGTATTTATCATAAAATGCATAAAACACATTGCAATTTTGATTGAGTGTGCACAATTTGAATCAAATGCATACTATCATTTT